GGGCTAGACACTTTTAATGTCCTTTAGAAAATCCATGTTTGTGTGGATTTTACTGTAAAACGTTGATCAAAACACAAAATTATGAATTTGCAATTCCTGAGGACACTCAAGCTTTGGAAGTCACCGAAGTTGGCAGATATTTTCTCACTAATTTTACCCCAGACACCAAGTAACCCCCACTTCCTTTAATTGCAAATACCTGGACACCTATTTTAAAAAAAGATGGATAAAAAAAAAAAAAAAAGAAGCAAGACACATTAACACGCCTCTAATTGATACGAATAACCTCATAATGTGCCAAAACTTTAGGAACAACTGACTGATTCCACCACATTGTGACACTTTAGTCTTTTTGTGCTGTTCAACTGGTCTTCCCTTTCATTACAGAAGCTTTTTTTAAATCTACGTTTTTCCAGACAAGATAAAATGTCCATTCAATAGATATTTGAACGAAGCATTACATTCTTTCCCATTATTCATAAACAAGCAGCTGCACATGCTGTCATTAAATATACTAAAATGCCCCCATAAACTAGTTGGAAAAATGTCAATGAACCAGTTTGTGAGACCACAATAACTGAGTGCGTACACCTTCACAATAACAATATTGTTACACCGGCTCATCCCACCCTCCCACTAGTTATTACTTAAAACATTGATTACTTTCCTTTGAATTTAGGTAGGTGTGCTTCAAGCACATTAATAGCTTTTGTTGTGCTCTCACTTTGGTGCCAAAGGCACTGTTGAAAATCATTAAGTCATAAGGCTTATTGGAATTTTAAAAATATTTCCCCCCATTGCACTCAATCTCAAAACGTCAGTTAACCTAATTTCATCGCGTTCACACCTTGACTCCTTGACCTCAGCCTATTGAAGTTTTCTTCGAAGCTCGCTTCAGCGCGCCCATGACCTTATTAAATAATTATGCAGTTGCGAGCGCCATAAAACACTTGCCACAAAAAAAGACTGAAAATAAGATCGCTTCCAAGGGTATCGAATATAACTTTGCTCTTAGGGAACGTTGAAATATATACATGTATAAGTATTCGTGCGAGTACCAAATCGTTAGTCATGCACCTATTATGCCATGCTCCGTAATGGTGTCATCATGTTTGTGCTCGTTTGACTTCAGTACAACTTGAGTAAAATCGCAGTTCGAGAGGAAATTTGACTGATAACCTCTGTGTCTGCACTCCAAGAGCGTGGTTGTGTTATACCTACGGTTGATGGAGATTTTTTGGGACTTGATACCTTCCATTATGAGTCTTGACACATCTTTGATATTTTCAAGTCCATTACATAACTTTAAATAATAGAACTAGATCTAGATCTAGATCTATATTAGCTTTGGTATGATTTCTCTCCAGGAAATAACTTCGTTCACTTAGGTGAGATTTTGCCGTAATGTGCATTGTATGTGTGTGTTGTGTTGCGTGTGCGTGAGTGTGTGTGTTTGGAATGTGTGTATGTGTGTGTGTTCGGTGTGTGTGTGTGTGTGTGTGTGTGTGTGTGTGTGT